GGGCCACATCCCAGAAAGACCGTCGAGCACCCAGAAAAGTATCGAAACGGCGTCGAACAAGTGCCGCCTCCCAGGGCCCGACACGTGAAAACCCTCAACTTTCGGAAATTTCTTGGTGCTCGAAATTCCTTCTGGCGATCGAGGCTAAAGTAGGTTGGAACACCGTAAAGCGAGAGGGGGAGTGAGAAGGAGAAGGCCTTCCCAGAAGGTGGCGGGACTTCTCAGAAGACCTCGCGAACAATTTTCTGTGTCTTCGGGGAAGGCTTAGACAACTTCTCAGGAGACCGATGGACTTCCGAGCCTTCTGAGAAGGCCCGCCCCTTCTCACTTCCCCTCCAGGCTCGCCGCCGAGCCAGAATAACATCCTTCAGGAAAATGAGACCCTCCGCCGGCCAAAACACACAGAACATCCGAGGGCGCCCTTCCGAGGGTGCACGAGAACATCCCACAAACAAGAGAACCATCAAGGTACCCTCCCAGAACCGACCTCGATCGTATACTTGGGTCCGACTGTAAGTTGTTCTTCTCCAGGCAAGCGCATCTGCTGGAGAGAGGGAGGAAGATTAGCGGCGCGCACAAGGGGGTAGGGGGAGGGTGGAAGGCTTCTCAGAAAGGGGCTGCTTCTTGGAAGGCGCCGGCCTTGTATCTACAGACAAATCCCGCGCCTTCTGAGAAGCAGGGGTGCTTCTAAGAGGCCTCCCCCCCTCCCCCGACCCCCCCTCTGCGCATGGCCGACAAATAGGGAAGGCGCGACGAACATCCAGCCGACCCAATCGTCACTCAGTCCACCGCGGGCTTCAGGGATGGAGCACGGAGCGATACGAATGAACCCCAAACCAAAAACGCACCCAGAAGAGATCACAGGTGATGGGGCACCTAGTGGAGCCAAGGTCCGAGGTACGTTGACCTCGGCGAGCCACCCCAGGACTCAGATGCTTCGCGGACGACTCCAGGACGGACCCGGTTGACTTTGCAGACCGCGAGGCAAATTCTGATGCCATCCAGATCCAGAAATCGTTCCCAGCCAGGGCGCTCAGAAGAGCTGCCCTGGTTTCAGCGAGCCGCCCAGTGCCAAAAGTCGGATATATGATGCCAGCGCGTGGAACCCGCATCGTAAGGGGAGCCGACGTGTGGAATATGATATGCATGGAGCCATCCGTTTGATTCCACATCTGAGACTTCACGGCCCCTATGTGTGCGTGCGTCTTTGTGTCCGTGTGTCTGCGCGTCTGTGTGTCTGTGTGTCTGTGTGTCTGTGTGTCCGTGTGTCTGTGTGTCTGTGTGTCTGTGTGTCTGTGTGTCGGTATGTCTGTGTGTCTGTAGGTCTGTGTGTCTGTGTGTCTGTGTGTCTCTGTGGCTGTGTGTCTGTGTGTCTGTGTGTCTGTGTGTCCGTCGTGTGTCCGTGTGTCCGTGTGTCTGTGTGTCTGTGTGTCTGTGTATCTGTGTGTCTGTGTGTCTGTGTGTCTGTGTGTCTGTGTGTCTGTGTCTGTGTGTCTGTGTGTCTGTGTGTCTGTGTGTCTGCGTGTCTGTGTGTCTGTAGGTCTGTGTGTCTGTGTGTCTGTGTGTCTGTGTGTCTGTGTGTCTGTGTGTCTGTGTGTCCGTGTGTCTGTTTGTCTGTGTCTGCGCGTCTGTGTGTCTGTGTGTCTGTGTGTCTGTGTGTCTGTGTGTCTGTGTGGGCCTGCTTGTGTCTGCGTGTGTCTGCGTGTGTCTGTGTGTGTCTGTGCGTGTCTGTGTGTGTGTGTCTGTGTGTGTCTGTGTGTGTCTGTGTGTATGTGTGCATGTGTGTGTGTCTGTGTGTGTCTGTGTGTCTGTGTCTCTGTGTGTCTGTGTGTTTGTGTGTATGTCTGTGTGTCTGTGTGTCTGTGTGTCTGTGTGTCTGTGTGTGTTTGTCTGTGTGTCTGTGTGTCTGTGTGTTAGTGTGTCTGTGTGTCTGTGTGTCTGTGTGTTTGTGTGTCTGTGTGTGTCTGTGTCTGTGTGTCTGTGTCTGTGTGTCTGTGTGTCTGTAGGTCTGTGTGTCTGTGTGTCTGTGTGTCTGCGTGTCTGTGTGTCTGTGTGTGCCTGCGTGTGTCTGTGTGTGTGTCTGTGTGTGTGTCTGTGTGTGTCTGTGCGTGTCTGTGTGTGTGTGTCTGGGTGTGTGTGTGTGTGTTTATGTGTGTATCTGTGTGTGTGTCTGTGTGTGTCTGTGTGTCTGTGTGCCTGTGTGTCTGTGTGTCTGTGCGTCTGTGTGTCTGTGTGTCTGTGTGTCTGTCTGTCTGTATGTCTGTGTGTCTGTAGGTCTGTGTGTCTGTGTGTCTGTGTGTCTGTGTGTCTGTGTGTCTGTGTGTCTGTGTGTCTGTGTGTCTGTGTGTCTGTGACTGTGTGTCCTGTATGTCTGTGTGTACCGTGTGTCTGTGTGTCTGTGTGTGCCGGTGTCTGCCGTCTGTTGCGTCTGTGTGTCTGTGTCTGTTTGTCCGTTGTCTGTGGTGTCTGTGTGTTTTTGTCAGTCTGTGGTGTCGGTGTGTCCTGTTGTCTTTTGTGTCGGATGTGTCCGTGTGTGTCATGTGTCCTGTGTGCTATGTGTCCGTGTGTGCGTGTGTCCGTGTGGTCCCGCATATTTCCCGCCGTGAGTCCGATGTGTCCGAGGTAGTCCGGAGGATGTCCGTGTGTCGTGTGGGGCCTGCTTTAGTCTGCGTGTCGTCTGCTTGTGTCTGCGTGTGTCTGCGTGTGTCTGTGTGTGTCTGTGCGTGTCTGTGTGTGTGCGTCTGTGTGTGTATGTGTGTGTCTGTGTGTCTGTGTGTCTGTGTGTCTGTGTGTTTGTGTGTATGTCTGTGTGTCTGTGTGTCTGTGTGTCCGTGTGTCTGTGTGTGTTTGCCTGTGTGTCTGTGTGTCTGTGTGTCTGTGTGTCTGTGTGTCTGTGTGTCTGTGTCTGTGTGTCTGTGTGTCTGTGTGTCCGTGTGTCCGTGTGTCCGTGTGTCCGTGTGTCCGCTTGTCCGCGTGTCCGCGTGTCCGTGTGTCCGCGCGTCCGCGTGTACGCGTGTCCGCGTGTCCGCGTGCCCGCGTGTCCGCGTGTCCGCGTGTCCGCGTGTCCGCGTGTCCGCGTGTCCGCGTGTCCGCGTGTCCGCGTGTCCGCATGCCTGTGTGTCTGTGTCCGTGTGTCCGTGTGTCCGTGGGTCCGTGGGTCCGTGTGTCCGTGTGTCCGTGTGTCCGTGTGTCCGTGTGTCCGTGTGTCCGTGTGTCCGTGTGTCCGTGTTTCTGTGTGTCTGTCTGTCTGTGTGTCTGTGTGTCTGCGTGTCTGTGTGTCCGTGTGTCCGTGTGTCCGTGTGTCCGTGTGTCCGTGTGTCCGTAGGTCCGTAAATCCGTGTGTCCGTAGGTCCGTGTGCCCGTAGGTCCGTAAATCCGTGTGTGCGTTTGTCCGTGTGTCCGTGTGTCCGTGTGTCCGTGTGTCTGCGTGTCTGTGTGTCCGTGTGTCCATGTGTCCGTGTGTCCGTGTGTCCGTGTGTCCGTGTGTCCGTGTGTCCGTGTGCTCTCGTCCGTGTGTCCGTGTTCCGTGTATATCCGTGCGTAGCGTGTCTTGAGCTCCGACGTGTTCCGTGTCCGTGTTGTCCGTGTTGAGCGTGTGTCCTGTGTTGTCCCGTGTGTTGGTGATCGTGGTGTGAGACCGTGTGTCTGTGTGTCTGTGTGTCTGTGTGTCTGTGTGTCTGTGTGTCTGTGTGTCTGTGTGTCTGTGTGTCTGTGTGTCTGTGTGTCTGTGTGTCTGTGTGTCTGTGTGTCTGTGAGTCTGTGTGTCTGTGTGTCTGTGTGTCTGTGTGTCTGTGTGTCTGTGTGTCTGTGTGTCAGTGTGTCTGTGTGTCTGTCTGTCCGTGTGTCTTTTGTGTCCGTGTGTCCGTGTGTCCGTGTCTGTGTGTCTATATGTCTGTGTGTTTGTGTGTCCGTGTGTCTGTGTGTCTGAGTGTCTGCGTGTCTGGGTGTCTGTGTGAGTCTGTGAGTCTGTTTGTCTGTCTTCAGTGTTTCATGTCGTGTCTGCGTGTCTGTGTGTCTGTGTGTCCTGTGTGTCTTGTGTGATGCCTAGGCTTCAGGCCTGTGTGCCCTTGGTGTCTGTGTTCTGGGTGATGACTGTGTGTCTGTGTAGTGTCTGTGTGCCTGTGATCTGTGCGTCCTGTGTTGTGTGTGTCTGGTGTCTGTTGTCTGTGTGTCTGTGTGTCTGTGTGCTCTGGTGTCTGTCTGTGTGTCTGTGTGTCTGTGTGTCTGTGTGTCTGTGTGTCTGTGTGTCTGTGTGTCTGTGTGTCTGTGTGTCTGTGTGTCTGTGTGTCTGTGTGTCTGTGTGTCTGTGTGTCTGTGTGTCGGTGTGTTCGTCTGCTTGTGTGTCTGTGCGTCTGTGCGTCTGTGTGTCTGTGTGTATGTGTGTCTGTGTGTCTGTGTCTGTGCGCCTGTGCGTCTGTGCCTCTGTGTGTCTGTGCGTCTGCGTGTCTGTGTGTCTGTGTGTCTGTGTTTCTGTGCGTCTGTGTGTCTGTGTGTCTGTTGACGCGGGGCCTATAAAAGGGTAAAAAGAAGCCCACAGAGGGCCCGGGCCCCACTGAGGGGCCAAAGCCACAAGGGGCCGCCCCAAGACAGGGGGCGGGCCACAAGGGATCCCGAGAGCCCAGACGAGCCGCAGAAGGCTGCCACCAGGGCACATCGGCCCCGAGGCATCGCTCGGCCTGTCAGCTCAGACCCCCGTCGAGGGGCATCAGCGCGAAGCGCTTGAATATATACAACAGCGCAGAGAAGCGACGGGCGACGCCCCAAACATGCTTGCACAGCCCCAAGCGGCACGGCGAGGCAGGCGAGGCGCAGAAAGCTTCACGCCAACACGCCGAGGCCCGCGGCCACCAGGGGTCCAAAACGCAAGGGCAGACAGGAGACGGACGCAGAGGGATGACAGGAGGAGAGGCAGGCTGGCGCCCCACAGCCAGGAGCATCCAAGGCTCGGCACACGCTCGTTCGCGCGGTCCGAGCGCCCCAAGGCTGGGGCCAGCGCGGACTCAATCTCCTCCATCTCCGTCATCTCTGCGCCGCCTCCTGATATGGCGCTCAAGACGGGCCTCCTCGGCCTCCTCAGCCCAGCTCAGCAGGCTCTCCTCATCGAGGCCGTAGGCTTCCAGCCAGGCCTGCCGCGAACCCGCCCCCGCCGCAGCGCCTCCAGCCGCAGCGGGCAGCTCTGTCGAGGAGGGGGCCGCATCGCCAGCGCCGCCCCCAGCAGCGTCTGCCACCGAGGCGCTGCCCTCGACGCCTGCTGGGGCATCGGGCTGGACTCCAAGCCACTTCAGGAAGCGCACCCTGGCGTCCTGCGGCACCTCGGCCTCCATGCGAAGGCGGTGGGCATCCGCCCCCTTCCCCCGCGTGTCGCGGGCGCGCGGCGTGCCCCCAGGGCGGAGGCCACGCCCCCACCGCGACTTCTGGCCCCGCAGCGACCTGGGGAGGCCCGCTGCGCCAGGACAGCGTTCCCTGAGCTTGGGCTGCGGGCCAGGGCGTCCGCCAAGCCTCGCATACGCTCCGCACGCAATGATCTCCTGCTGGTCGCCGCCCTCACCGCACCTGGCGCGCGCGAGGGCGTGCCCAGCGACGGCGAAGACCAGGGCGCCCAGCGCTACTCCTCCGTCGCGCGCCGCCGAGGCCCAGGCGCCGACAGCGGCGGGGCGGCTGCCGGCCTGCTCCCCGCGGGCCCCCACGGCGGCGGGCGGGGCACCCGACGCGTTCACGGGAGCCGCCCGCGGGCCGTCAGCACGCTCCTCCAGCGGGACCGCGAAGGTTACAGCAGTCCTTCGCTCGTCGCACTCAGGAAGGCCCTCGCAGCCCTTGGAGTCCATGTCCTGCCAGACGATCGAGGCCTGCGCGATCCACCTGGAGAGCTCTCTCACGACCTCCATCGCGCCGAAGAACTCCCGCCCGGCCGCCGCGCAGACCCTGTGGAGGGCCGCCCCCGCCTTCGCCAGCCTGTCGGCGTGGGCGTTCCCAAGCCACTGAAACTCCGAGATCCTGCCTTCGCGAACATCGATCTCAGTGCAGTGGGCCGCCACCTTGTTCACAATGAGCGAGCCGACGTCCAGCGAGGCGTAGACGGCCGACCACAAGTGCGCATTGGGCTTGTTGGCAGCCGTCGCATACTTCCTGCCGAGCTTCAAGCAGCTGACTGTGGACGCACAGTCGATGTTGATCTCGATGATCGAAGGCCCGATGTAGCGGCTCAACATCCAGACCGCGAAGTCCTCGCCGTCCTTCGCCGTCTGGAAGGGGCACAGGTCGAGGCGGAACATGCCGTACACCGCCGCCTCCACGTTGCCGAACTCGTCGCACTGCACGATGCTCCAGCCAGCCCTGCGGATGCATTCGAGCTCAGGGTCGAGCGCCGAGCCGCCGAGGAAGAGGCGACCGCCTAGCAGCCCGTCGGCAGGCCTGCTCACCCACATGACTGCCATAGCGTCCGACCGCCAGGCCGCCTGCGGGGGCTGCGGCAGCCAGCACCTGGAGAAGCACTCCCCCGCCTCCTCACCTCGCTGCCTCACTCGAGTGGCGCAGCGAAGGAGGCGGGCTGACACCGAGTCCCTCCTCTCAGCGGCCAGGGCTTGGCACTCGAAGAGCCTGTGCCAGAGGCTGCCACGCACTTCGCCGCAGGCGCAGCAGCGAGGGTGGCCCCGCTCACCAGCCGCGAAGAGCCGAGTCTGCGGCCAGTGGGCGTTGGACAGGTAGCTCACCACCGCGGCCTTCTCCCTGCTGCTGAACCTGCCGCGCGGCCCGATGACCTGGCCGAGTGCGTCCCAAGACAAGGGCATGGAGGGGGCGGCTCCGTGCCCAAGCCGCGTCATCTCAGCCCTGTCGGAGGCCCTGCGGGCGCCTGCCGCAGCCAGCAGCCCGAGCCCGCGGGGGCCCATGATCAGCTGGGAAGCCTGGACGGAGGGGGGCTCCCAAGGGGCCCACGGGGGGGGGGGGCCCAAGGGGAGCTGGGTCTCGGAGGGCGGGGGCCGAGGGCGACACTGACAACGACACGACCTACGACTCCTCCTAAAAAAAAAAAGTCAAGGTTCCGTGACCCGGGGGGGCTGCCTGAAGCCTGGACGGAGGGGGGCTGCCAAGGGGCCCACGGGTGGGGGTTGGCCCAGGGGAGCTAGGTCTCAAGGGGGGGGGGCCACGGAGGGGGGCTCGTCAGGGGGGCTTCCCCGGGAAGCCTTGCCGGAGGGGGCTGCCAGGTCATAGGGGGGGAGTGCCACGGAGGGGGGCCCGACCAGGGGGGCTGCCCTGGGAAGCCTGGAGGGAAGGGGGGGGTGCCAGGGGCCACGGAGGGGGGTGGCCCAGGGGAGCTAGGTCTCAAGGGGGGTGCCACGGAGGGGGGCTCCAGGGGGCTCGACGGGGGGGGGGGGCCAGGGCAGCCAAGGTCCTCAAGGGGCGGGGGGCACGGAGGGGGGTTCAGGCAGGGGCTGCCCTGGGAACCTGGACGGGGGGCTGCCAAGGTCAGAGGGTGGGGGAGGGCCAAAACGCAGGGGGGCCCCAGTGGGGCTGCCCGGAACCTGGACGAGGGGGGCTGCCAAGGTCAGGGGGGTGGAGGGTGGGGGGCAACGGAGGGGGGCCCAGGGGGGTGCCCCTGGCAAGCCTGGAGGAAGGGGGGCTGCCAGGGGCCCACGGGGGGTGGCCTCAGGGGAGCTAGTCGCAGGGGATGGGCACGCCCAGGGTAGCTCAGTCTCTATGGAGGGGGGGGGGGGAGCCGAGGGGGACGAACGACGACACGACACGACGAGAATAAAGGTTTCCGTGACCCAGGGGGGCTGCCCTAGGAAGCCTGGACGGATGGGGCTGCCAAGGGGCCCACGGGGGGGGGGGGCCCAGGGAGCTAGTCCTCAAGGGGGGGGCCACGGAGGGGGGGCTCCAGCGGGGCTGAGCCTGGTAGCCTGGACGGAAGGGGGCTGCCAAGGTCTAGGGGGGGGGAGGGCAAATCAAAACTGAGGGGGGGGCCCCCAGGGGGGCTGCCCTGGGAAGCCTGGACGGAGGGGGCTGCCAAGGTCAGGGGGGGGGAGGGGGGGCACGGAGGGGGGGCCCAGGGGGGGGCCCTGGAAAGCCTGGACGGAGGGGGGCTGCCAAGGGGCCCACGGGGGGGTGGCCCAGGGGAGCTAGGTCTCAGGGGGGGGGCACGCCCAGGGGAGCTCAGTCTCAGGGAGGGGGGGGGAGGGGGCGAGGGGGACGAACGACGACACGACACGACGAAAATAAAGATGTCCGAGCTCTAGAGCACAGCTGTGCAAGAGAATCAAGTTGCCGGCTATGCTTGCTCGATCCAAACAGCTATCGCGCCCTGGCGGCCACCCGAATCCTCCCTTCCTCTCTCCATTCATTATCATGGAGCCGTTGTGCATTCAGCCGTTCGTCCCTTAGCAAAGGGGTCAGCAGGGTCACACAAGGTGGGTCCTGTCACGGTTTCCTCCGGCCAGGGGGGGGTCACAGAATACCCCCTTGAGCGGGTAACGGTTCTTGCCTTCGGGGCCGCGGGCATGCCATGCCACGGAAAAAAGAAGCCGACCTGCTCTTCACGACGCAGAAGACTGGCGGCAGAAGAAGGAACAAAGAAAGCCAATGACTAGACCCCGACTTCAGTGACTGAAATTCCGACTTCATAAACCGAATTCCGACTTCATTGACGTAGTTCGGACTTCAGTGAAGATTTCATGGAAGACTTCAGGAATACAACAATTCGACTCCATTTTAGACGTCGAGCTGCAGCGACCCATCGGGGCAGCCCCTGCTCAACCGGTGGTGCGTTGGGGGTGGCGCAGTGGCCGCCGGCGGCGCCAGCCAATAAGACTTCGATTCAAAGACTCTGTTTTAAACAGGGGTGTTGGGGCAACCGGGAATGCGGGGCTGTGAAGGGCAGGGGTAGGGTGGGAGGAAGGGGGGGTAGGAGAGTGCGGGTGTGAGGTAGCTGTGCGTGGTGTTGGAGGAAAGGGTAGGATGTGAGGAGTTTGGAGAGAGGGAGAGGAGGAGGGAGGAGGCCGGGAAGGGGGGGATGGAGTGGGTGTGTGGACCCACGACGTGACAATAGATAAGGGGAAAGCCACGGCTTGATCGTTTGGCGCAAGGTGCTCTCCTTGACCGAGCCGGTGCGCCCCTGGCACTATTCAAGTGTGTGTGTGTGCGTCTGTGTGGAGGCCCCGTGTGGGCCCCTGCTTGTGGAGCCATGTGTGTGGAGCCTGGTCTCCATATGTGCACCAAGCTGAGCAGCAAGATCGACTCCACCATCTCGGCGATGAGCATCTGCCACAGTACGAGCAAGGCGAAGCTGAACGCCGCGGGCTCGACCACTTGCGATCTGAACGTTGCGCCGCCATTCATGGGTACCGCCTCCCCGAATGAGCGGTGGAGAGGACGTGAACTTTCCCGATGCTGCAAGCAGATCAAATACGTAGCACCCCGCAGATGCGGATAAGAGTGAGGGGGCGATGGGGACGTCGGAAGTCTGTGAGACTCTGGAGAAGCCCGCCGCAGGCGTCAAAGTTTCACAAATTATTCAACGAGCCCGCCGCAGGCGCAGATTTTTTCTTCAAACCAATGTGGATCGCGGGTGGATCGCGGGTGGGTCGCGGGTGGGTCGCGGGTGGGTCACGGTGTCGCGGGTGGGTCGCGGGTGGGTCGCGGGTGGGTCGCGTGTGGGTCGCGGAAGGGTCGCGGGGTGGGTCGCGGGGTGGGTCACGGGGTGCGGGTGGGTCGCGGGAGGGTCGCGAGTGGGTCGCGGGGTGTGGGTCGCCGGTGGGTCGCGGGTTGGGTCGCGGGTGGGTCGCGGGTGGGTCGCGGGGTGGGTCGCGGGGTGGGTCGCGAGGTGGGTCGCGGGGTGGGTCGCGGGTGGGTCGCGGGGGGGACGACGACAACAAACAACAACAACAACAACAACAACAACAACAACAACAACAACAACAACAACAAAAACAAAAACAACAACAACAACATCAACAACAACACCAACACCAACACGACAACAACAACAACAACAACAACAACAACAACAACAACAACAACAACAACAACAACAACAACAACAACGACAGCATCAACAACAACAGCCACAACCACAACAACAACACCAACAACAACAGCAACAGCAACAACAATCATTTTAAGACTGTTCGCCCTTATCTGCTCGAGTGTCCAATAACGCGTATTTCCCAAGCCCTCGATACCCGCCCTCTTCGTCTTCGATCGAACCCCTTTTGGGGGGTATACCTTTCTTCCCTGCAGGCCGGGCCCCGGCAAGCGGCGGGGCGGCCGCGGACCGTCGACCCGATCCCAAGAGGGACGGACAGGCGACCGACCACGACGAAGACGACGACGAGGTCGACGACGACGGCGACGACGACGACGACGGCGACGACGAGCGAAAGCGAGAGCGAGAGAGAACGACAGCAGGGCCAGGAAGGACACGAAGTAGGCCACGAATGGCGACAGCGAGGACACGAAGCGAATGCGTATGGTACCACGAAGGGCGCGAACGAGCGAGAGCCACGAAGGGCAGATAATGCGGGGCCGCAGAAGGCAACGATGGGGCCACAGAGGGCAGCAACTGGGCCACGTAGGACAGTGAGGGGGCCACAAACAGCGACAGCGGGGCCACGAAGGGCATGCACATGGGGCCACATCGGGCGCGACTCCTGGGTGCCTGGGTGTCGGGAGCGCGGCGCTTGAGCAAATTGCAAAAAAATCCAACGCAAGGGCGCTATTCTTCAGTAAATTGCAGGCAAGTCGCCAGCGAGAGCGCGACTCGAGAGCGCTGGGAGAGCGATTCCTGAATAAATTGTAAGGAAGTCCCAAGCGAGAGCGCGATTCCTCAATAAAATGCGAGGAAGTATCGGGCGGGAGCGGGGGTCCTGGCTAAATTGTAAGGAAGTCTCCGGCGGGAGCCGTTGTTGATGTAACCCGGGGGCCAGGGGCGCAGTTTGAGCATCAAGACCATCAAGACTTTCCCTGTCGAAAAGCAGGGTGCGAGCGTCGAGGGGCACACTTTGATTGAGAATAAACACTATGCACCAGTGAGGGGGATCAACAAACATTTTTCTTCAGAAATGAAAATTCAACAACAACAACAACAACAACAACAACAACAACAACAATCATTTAAGACTGGGGACACTCCGTTCTCACCAGTGCCAGGGTTTTCATAGGAGGCGGGCAATACCCCCACTTTGTGGGGGGGCCGGTTCGAGCTCTACCAAATTTCCAAACGACTCTTCGCCACCACCCACACCCAGCTTCCCGCCCTATGACGTTCGGACACTTCACTTCGTGGCATGCGGACGACCGTGGCTACTATTCAGGGCCCCGCGGCCGACGACGACGGCGTGCGCGCGCGAAGAAAAAACGAATGTGTCCCGCATGGTATTATTTGACAGGGATGATGGCCCTGGCAGGTGCGCAACCGTTGTTGCAGAAGTTCGAAGCACGTGAAAAAGTTGCTCGCAAGAGCCCGTTTGACAGAAATGTTGAAAAAATATTGGGTTTCCTCAGAAATCCGCAAGAGCGCGCAAGATGAATTTTTGAAACTTTTTTTTGAAAAACCATTGGGTTTTTCATGTTTTTATGTTAAAATCGCTACGAAAACTAAGGTTTTGGAAGGATTTCATCTTGCGCGCGCGAGTGTGCACTTCGTGTCATGTTTTTCAAAGGATTCTTGAAGTTTGGTTATGTTAGAACAAGAAATTTCATTTTATAGTGTTTTTTGCAAGGGAAAGCGGGCGTCAACAAAACAACCGGATCCGGACACCCACGTTTTGCCTGAGACTTCCTCACGAAAATGATGAAAATGTGGCTGCGGCCTAGGCGCGGCGAGGGGGGCGCGCACCAGGGGCCCCAACAATAATTATTCTTTAGAATAAATAATGTTCAACAAGAACAACAACAACAACAACAACAACAACAACAACAACAACAGCAACAACACGACAACAACAACAACAACAACAACAACAACAACAACAACAACAACAACAACAACAACAACGACGACGACAACAACAACAACCAACCAACCAACCAACCAACCAACCAACCAACCAACCAACCAACCAACCAACCAACCAACCAACCAACAACAACAACAACAACACCAACAACAACAAACAAACAAACAAACAAACAAACAAACAACACCAACAGCAATAACACCAACAACACCAACAACAACACCAACAACAGCAACAACAACACCAACAGCAACAGCTACAACACCACATAACACCAGCAACAACACCAACAGCAGCAACAACAACAGCATCAACAACAACAATAGCAACAACAGCAGCAGCAGCAACAACAACGCAACAAGCAGAATCCTCACCACGGAGTATCACTTCAGCCACGCGCCAAGGGACAATGAATGACCGTTCGGCCCCCTCACTCTGAAGAAATCGGTCTGTCAGCAGATGCCCCACGTAAATGTCGCATCCCCCGATGGCCCCAGGGACCCACGGAAGCTCTGGGGCACCTTAGGAACCTCGAACCTCGACAAAGAATGTGCCCCCAAGAGTTCTAAAGGCAAGATTGTGTATCGTTTGCGTCGACTGTACTCCTCTCACCTCCTCGTCCCCCTTGGCGTGCTCCTCCCAGTCCTGGAACGCCTCTGGGGCCATGTACAGCGGGGTGCCCACCTCGGGCGTCTGAACAGGCAGAGGCCCTGGCAAGCTGGGCCAAGATTGAGCGCACATGCCATTCCAAGGATGCGCGTGACGGGCGCAAGCTCGATTGGCAGCAGCAACGCAACAAGAACCTTGGACCCGAGAGCGAGCGCCTCGATGGCAGCTCCCGGTAGCATCGAATTCTGAATGAGCAAAGCCAAACCGAACACACGCATTCGGAACATGTGCCCTGACCATGAAGGCTTCTAATCCGCCGCCGTGCCTCTGGGCACAGAGTGGGCGTGTCCTCAGATCCTTTGCCTGATCCTCTAAGCCTCAATCTCCTGGGGCTTCCCGCGTGCCCCATGGGCTCTGGGAAGTGTTGTCGCATGACTTATTCGGGTCCAAGAAGGCCCCAAGACGGGCCAACAGGGCCCCACGAGGCCCCCCCGAGACGGCCAACGATCGGCCCAAGACGCCCAAGATGGCCTCCAGATGGCCCAAGGGGCCCCCAAGACGCCCCAGCAGGCCTCCAAGAGGCCTCCCAAAAGGGCCTCAAGAGGTCAAAATCAGATTTGCACGTTTCATATTTGAATGATGTCTGCGTTCTCGCCGTCTCGGTCTTCCGACGCTCCAAGACTGCCCCCAAGTCCATCCCAAAACGGCCCAAGAGGCTTCCAAGAGGGCCCCACGACGGCCGTGCTCAAGATGGCAAATAAGGCCCCAAGACGGCCCCAAGAGAGGGAACACGAACCGCAAATCCGAGCCTTCCGCCCCAAGAGGCCCCCAGGAGGCCCCGAGAGGCGCCCCGGAGGCCCTCCAGAGGCCACAAGAGGCCCCCAAACGGACCCCAAGATGCCTCCAAACTGCCTCCAAGAGGCATCCCACGAGATCCCAACGGCCATCCAATAGGCTTCATACTCACAACCCAGGCACGGTGGCGGGATTGTCCGAAGGCCATGAGATAGCTAGTGCTGCTCAACTGTGAAACAGCTCGTTTCCCGATCCACGTGGCCCTGGACAAATGGAGATGTGGTGCTGCGAGTTCCGCGCCCAGATCACAGAGAAACGAATCCTGGACAGCACCTACGCGAATGATCTTTAACCCCCCCCCAATAGAATCGAGAATCCGCCACCGTGTCGCAAGGCGCGAAGTGGAGTTTTCTCCAGGCGTCATGTGTCCTCTATTTTCTGTACTCAGGACTCTGGGATTATAGCATTCTAAAGGCTGAGGCTCCAATTTCTCAAATTTCCTGGGCGCTCCCGCGCGTTCTTGGGGTACATCGCATGACCTGTCCAGAAGCAAGAGGGCCCCAAGACGGGCCAAGAGGGCACCAGAAAGCGCCCAAGAGGGTACAAGAGGGCTCCAAGACAGCCCAAGAGCGCTCAAAGACGCCAAGATGGCCCCAAGACGGCCCAAGATGTCCCAAAGAAGCCCGTAGAGCGTTCCAAGATGGCCCCCAAGAAGGCCCAAAGAGGCAAATCTCATTGATTTCCCTTGTGTCTTCTATGTTTTTCGCGCTCTCGCGTTTTCGGGCTTCCGACGCTGCAAGATGGCCCCAGAGGCCCCCAAGACCGCCCCAATACGGCCCACAAGGTCCCCAAGAAGGCCCCAAGACGGTCCAAGAGGGCCCCCAAACGGCCCAAGAGGCGCCCAAGATCGCCCAAGAGGGCCCCAAGACGGCCCCACGAGTGACTCAAGAGGGGGAACACGAAACACAAATTCCAGCCTTCCGCCCCAAGAGGCCCCCAGGAGGCTCCAAGTCCCCCTAGATGCCCCGCGAGGCCCCCAAGAGGCCCCAACAGAGGCCCCAAGAAGCTTCCAAACGGCCTCCAAGAGGCCTGAAAACTGGATCCAAGAGGCCCTCGAGAGGCCTGCCACGATATCCAAACGAAAACCCAAGAGGCCTCTAACCCACAACCCAGGCACGGTGGTGGGATGGGCCGAAGGCCATGAGATCCGCCGCACCCGATTGATTCATCACAGGGGTGCCCGGCATGCTGAATCCTTTCGCGTTTGGTTTTGGTTCTTTTTCCAAAAGAACTCCCCCTGGGGCTTCGGCCGATCCCGCCGGCCACCCGGAAGGGCGCGCAACAGGTGGTTGCAAAGGGTTTTTCGGCTCCAGACAGCTCCAAGATGGCCAAGATGGCCCAAGATGGCCTCCAAGTTCGCCCAAGATGGTCCAAGAGGGCCTCGAAGACGGCCCAAGAGAGTCCAGGACGCCTCCAAGTTCGCACAATAAACACCTAAGACGGCCCAAGACAGCCCCGGAGGCCACCAAGAGGCCTCCAAGACGGCCCAAGAGGCCTCGAAGAGGTCCTCCAGGGTCCTCAAGGACGGCCCGAAGAGGTCAAAATCAGTGATTTTCCTTAGGCTTTTGAAGAATTTTAGCTTTTACTCCTTTCGGCCTTCCGGCGGCCCGAGACGGCCCAAGAGGGGAACGCTGGACCAAGCTCAAACCCAACTTTCGGCCACGCAGGCGCTTCCAAAAAGGCAAGGGGCGGCGGTGATTCGCCGTAGGCGTCTTCGATCCGCCGCCACCTGTTGATTCATCACAACGGTGCCCAGCGTGCTGAATCCTTTCGCTTTTGGCTTAGGTTATATTTCCATGTTTTGCCTTCCGCTGAGCGGAGATACGTCTCGAAACTCAGTGGCAGCGTCTACGCGCAGCCGCTGCCAGTTGCCCCATGGTGAGTCACTGACGGTGACGAACAAAAGAAAAAATCAAAAGGGTGTGGTGGGAGGGCCGGTTGATCTGCAGAGCCAAAGGCTTTCGGCAAAGCGAGGGGGGGAGCGACAAGACGCGACAGGCACAACATTGTCGTGCGCGCACCCCCATGTTTTGCCTTCCGCTGAGCGGAGATACGCCTCGAAACTCAGTGGCAGCGTCTACGCGCAGCCGCTGCCAGCTGCCCCAAAACAGCCCAAATACGGATGTTCATTTAACGACAAAAAGCGAGCTCACTGGCATTGGGTTGGGACAGCGTTGGCAGGGATAATTAGCACGATTGCAGTTGAGAGCGGACAGGGGAGAGGAGGGAGAAAGCCAACGCACGGGCAAGAGGCCTGGGGCATTCGGCCGCGATAGCGGTCCAGTGCACCCCCGAGCCGCTTCTACCTCGGAGATGCCAATGCGCTTTTCCAGTACGAGAGCACAGGCCCCGTCTACAACGGCACTGTCTCTCAAGTCGCGAACAGTCCTCGCGACGGATATTCCCTATCAAAAATTCTGTGCGCTTCCTCCAGCAAGTTCCATATTGACACTGGTCACAGACGATTTCAAAACACCAGCCGAGATCTAAGAGCTCTCGAACGGCAGGCGTCTTAAAAACATAAGAACTTCCAGGATTGTCCAAAATCTACGGGATCCCTTGCGTTACACACGCTCTAATCAACTGCAAGCTAGCTTGTAACAGAGCGTTCCCGTGATCGACTTTAGACTGCAGCTCGGTAGCCAAACCAGGGAGCCCTAGTGGACACGCGTCCGAACGCAGCCTGCCATTCTGAGCGATTCAGAAGCTAGTACAAAAGAACAAAAAAGACAACAAAAAAAAACAAAAAAAATATATGATAACAAAAAACAGTAAAATTGAAGAAAAAAAATAAAATTCATATAAAAGAAAAAACAAAAAGAAAACAACAAAAAAGAAAAAAAACATACAAAACCAAAGAACAAAACAAAAAATACCAAATTGCATAAAAACAAATAAAAAATAAAAAAGGCAATATTACAGAAAAAAAAAAAAACAAATATAAAACAGAAAAAAAAGGCAAGAAGGCTATCATCGCGCCGGCCACTCTTCCCGACCTAACGTCGGTTAGAAGTCTCAGTCGTGACATTTTATCCAGGACATCAAAACATGTCTTGATCTCTAGCTCTTTACACGGGTATCCTTAATTCCAGAGGCTCTTGGAGACGCCGCCAGTCCCCGAGAAGAGGTCGATGAACCAGCGGTCTCCCATTACCTTCAGGTGCAGCGAGTTACCACGAGGTGCTCCAGGAAGGCGCGAGGGAGCCAAAATCTTTAATTTTCCTACGGTTTTTGAAGGATTGTTGTTTTTCCTCGGTTTTGGTGTTCCGACCGCCTAAGGTGGCCCAAGGAGTCCCCATCCGCTGCCCCCAGCTGGCTTGCCACAGTGGTGCCCAGCGTGCTGGACCCTTTCGGTTTTGGTTTTGGTTCTTTCCCGAAAGAACTCTCCCCTGGGGATCCGACCCAGCCCACTGGCCACCCGGAAGAGCGCACAAAGCCGCACAAAGCCCAGAAACGAGCTCAACGTCCACAAAAACATCCCCGGGTCAATGTCCTTCCCGCTCCAAGATGGCCCTCGATGGCCTCCAAGACGGCTCAGATGGCCCGAGGTGGTTTCCAAATTCGCCCAAGATGGTCCAAGATGGCCTCCACAACGGCCCAGGAGGGTCCAAGATGCCTCCAGGTCGGCCCAAGATGCCTCCAAGACGGCCCAAGAGGCCCCCAAGAAGCCTCCACGACAGCCCACGAGGCCTCCTGGAGGTCCTCCAGAAAAACCCGAAGAGGCCTAAATCATTGATTTTCCATTGATTTTTTGTGGGATTTTGGCATTTGCTTCTTTTCCGCTTTCCGACGGCCCGAAACGGCCCAAGAGCCCCCAAAGATCGCTCCAAGATCGCCCAAGAGACCCCTCCAAGATGGCCCCGGAACGGCCCAAGAGGCCCCCAAGATCGCCCCAGGACGGCCCCAAGACGGCCCAAGAGGTCTCGAAGACGCCCAAGATGACCTCCAAGACGGCCCAGTCGGCCCAGAGAGGCCCCAGGACTGCTTCCGACGGCGTCCGACGGGCCAGGAGCCCACCAAGACAGCCCACGATGGTTCTAAGATGCCTCCTAGACGGCCCAAAATGCCCCCAAGAGGCCTCCAAGACAGCCCACGAGGCCGCCCGGTGGTCCTCCAGGAAGGCCTGGAGAAACCAAAATCATTGATTTTCCATTGATTTGTTGCAGGATTGTGGCGTTTGCTTCTTTTCCGCTTTCCGACGGCCCGAGACGGCCCAAGAGTTCAAAAAGATCGCCCGAAAGGCCTCCAGGATGGCACCCGAACAGCCCAAGAGGCCCCAAGACGGCCCCAAGAGGGCTCTAAGACGGCCCACGAGGCCTCCAAGACGCCCAAGATGGCCTCCAAGACAGCCCTGGAGCACCTCAAGAGGTTCCAAGTCGGCCTAGAGAGGCCCCCAGACAGCTTCCGACGGGCCAGGAGCCCACCAAGACAGCCCAAAATGGCTCTAAGATGGCCCAAGACGGCCCAAGAGGCCCCCAAGAGGCATCCAAGACGGCCCAAGAGGCCTCCTGGAGGTCCTCCCGGAAGGCCCGAAGAGACCGACATCATTGATTTTCCGTAGGTTTTTAAGGGTTTGGGCATTTGCTTCTTTTCGGCCTTCCGACAGCCCGAGGCGGCCCAAGAGCCCCGAAAGATCGCCCGAAAAGCTTCCCAAATGGCCCCAGAACGGCCAACGAGGCCCCCAAGACGGCCCCAAGAGGGCCCCAGTACGACCCAAGAGGCCTCCAAGACGCCCGTAGGCGTCTTCGACAATTATGTTTTGGGCGGGCTGACTGCCAGATTGGGACGCCCAACAATACTGGACACATCAATATTCCCCCGCGGCGGCCACCGCTGATGGTCGGGAGGGATGAGGATGCCTAATGGTGATCACGATGATGATACTGTTGATGATGCTGATGATGATGATGGTGATAAGGATAAGGATAAGGATAAGGATAAGGATAAGGATAAGGATAAGGATAAGGATAAGGATAAGGATAAGGATAAGGATAAGGATAAGGATAAGGATAAGGATAAGGATCAGGACAGGATCAGGATAGGATAAGGACAAGACAAGGATAGGATAATGATAAGATAAGGAAAGGAAATGATAAGGATAAAGGATAAGGATAAGGAGACGGATAGGGACAGGATAGGATAAGGATAAGGTAAGGATAAGGATAGGATAGGATAATGAATAAAGGTAAGATAAATATAGGATAAGGATAAGGATAAGATAGGATAATGATAAAATGATAAATTGAGTAATGTAGGAATGAAGGATCAGGATAAGGATAAGGATAAGGATCAGGCTAAGGATAAGGATGAAGGATAAGGATAGGATAAGGATAGGATAGGGGTAGGGATGGGATATAGGATAAGATAAGGATCTGATCAGATCAGATCAGATCAGGATCAGATCAGGATCGCAGGATCAGGAATAAAAATATCATAAGGACAAGATAAGGATAAGGATAAGGATAAGGATAAGGCTAAGGATAAGGATAAGGATAAGGATAAGGATAAGGATAAGGATAAGGATAAGGATAAGGATAAGGATAAGGATAAGGATAAGGATAAGGATAAGGATAAGGATAAGGATAAGGATAAGGATAAGGATAAGGATAAGGATAGGGATAAGGATAAGAATAAGGATAAGGATCAGGATCAGGATCAGGATCAGGATCAGGATAAGGATAAGGACAAGGACAAGGATAAGGATAAGGATAAGGAAAAGGAACAGGAAAATGATAAGGATAAATGATAAAGGATAAGGATAAGGATAAGGATAAGGATAAGGATAAGGATAAGGATAAGGATAAGGATAAGGATAAGGATAAGGATAAGGATAAGGATAAATGATAAATGATAAGGATAAGGATAAGGATCAGGATAAGGATAAGGATAAGGATAAGGATAAGGATAAGGATAAGGATAAGGATAAGGATAAGGATAAGGATAAGGATAGGGATAGGGATAGGGATAGGGATAAGGATAAGGATAAGGATACTGATCAGGATCAGGATCAGGATCAGGATCAGGATCAGGATAAAGATAAGGATAAGGATAAGGATAAGGATAAGGATAAAGGATAAAGGATAAAGGATAAGGATAAGGATAAGGATAAGGATAAGGATAAGGTAAGGATAAGGATAAGGATAAGGATAAGGATAAGGATAAGGATAAGGATAAGGATAAGGATAAGGATAAGGATAAGGATAAGGATAAGGATAAGGATAAGGATAAGGATAAGGATAAGGATAAGGATAAGGATAAGGATAAGGATAAGGAAAAAAAAAAAAAATAAGGATAAGGATCAGGATAAGGATTCAGGATCAGGATAAGGATAAGGACAAGAGACAAGGACAAGATAGGATAGGATAGGGATAAGGATAAGGGATGAGATTGATAATGTGATAATGATATGATGGATGATGATGCTATTCTTGTATGCTGTCATGATGTGGGGAAGCCGAGAGGGGAAGGACGGCTCGAATTACAACCACAGCTTAAGGGGGTCCCCGTCAGCATAAAGGCTCCCTGAGGTTAGCAAGTGCCTCCTTTCCTGGAAGAATAAGAAAATAAGGGTCATGCAGAGAAGAGTGAGAACTGAACAACTTGCAGGTCAAACCGAGCCCGGCACGCCCAAGTCTGTTCGAGCAAGCCCGGAGACTGATCCGCCCCCTTCTGCTGGGTCGCTCGACACTCCGACCAGCTCAGGCGCAAAAGAACGGTCTTGGAGGCAACTTCGGCAGATGCGCCGGGTGACGCGGTCGAATGCTGCTGCTGGCTTCTCGACGTCGATCCCTGACATCCGCCGATCTGAGTTGAGGCTCTAGGCAAGCTGGGAAGCACACCTTCGAACAGGAGATGGTCAGGAACACTCGCCCACGGCATCGAGACGTCTGAGGTCTGGTTGCCAGCAGAGCCACGACTAAAAATTCCATCCGCGGCCCTAGAAGTCCCGACGAGGCGTGCGCCCCGGAGCCGTGCCTCGTGGTCTGGGGGCCCGAAAATAGCGGGCCCCGGAGGCAGGGCTCCAGGAAAAGAGCACCGGGATCGAACCGAAGCGCAATCGAGCTTGCAAGCCTCTGCCGTGAGGTCGGGCAGGTCCCCCCACGGGCGGGCTTTGGAAGACAAATTAAGGATAGCCAGACAATAAACAAAATGAGTAAACAAATAGTCGAAGAATCATCCCCAGACTATCTTTTTAACTAGTCTTGAATACTCCTCCTGTAGAAGGACATGCCCGACTGAACTCTGCCGCTGAGGCCCCCCGGCCACCAGCAGACCCTCCAGCGCATCCTGGTAGCCCTCGACGTAGACCGTGCCGAAGTCAACCAGCTTCAGTGGCCCCGCGGACAACGCATCCGAGTCCCCTGAGATCCGCCCGCTGCGAAGAACCGAAAAACACTGCGCAATATCGCGACTGGAGACCCAGACTCATGTTCGAGCGCCCAGAGAAGTATCGAAACAGTGTCTACTCGACACGCTGGCGAAGTGCCGAACGAGTATCGCTTCCATGGGCGCCACACGTGAGCACCCGCCAGTTTCGATACTGCCTTGGTGCTCAGAATTTTTTCTAGTGGTGAATGCTACAACCGGTGGAAACATCTCACAGTCAACCCGTATCATGAGGACGCGCGATAAGGGGGCAAGGGCCTTGCAAGGTCATGTGGTGCGACACTTTGCGAGCGGGGCGCAGCCAACCAAAGTGGCCAAGGATGGACCGAGGAGGCAAGGATTCAAGGGTACCCTGGGGAAAATTGCCCATCCCTACGATGCGGGTTGACTGTAGCCTTAGACCCAAACTCCGAGGCTGTGATTTCTTCAGTCCAGACCTTTCTCTCCTCGACTTCGGATCCCCGGGGGGCCCGCTTTCGGGCCCCCCCCCCCGCGGCCATCAAAAACAGGCCTGTGGCAAGAGACTGCTCCAGCCTAGGAGCCTTCAGGAATCCAAAAACTCCAGGGCATGCCACAACATCCAGGAGTACTCCGGAGTCCCAATCAGCACTCGAGTTCGAAGGACTTCGAAGCTTCCCGGGCGGGGAGAAGAGCGCCAGCCGGGGAAGGGGTCGGGACCCCTGGGGCCGCGGATGTCTGGGACCGGAGCCCTAGGATCGGCTGGACGTAGAGGCGGGGCTGGGGCAGAGGTGGGGCTGGATAGAAACGCTCAAAGCAGCCCCTGGAAGAAGGAAGTGCGAGTATCCAACTTGGCTCGTTCCCGAGCCCCACCTTGGGACACCCACCCACCCTCTACGAACCCCCGATGGGACCCACTCTTTCTGCGGCACCCTCTGAGCCGGACCGAGCTGTGATGGTCCCGGGGCCGGAAACTGGGCGAACACGCCCGTGGTGGAAAACATGCGGATCCTCTATGCACTGTTCGGGCCAGGTCGTTCTGTGATGGAGCCCGCGCCCGAGGCATGGTGAAACAAAAAAAAAAAAAGAAAAAAAAAAAAATAAAAAAAAAAAAAAAGCTCCCAGCCCAGCGCAACAAAACGCGCGCTCTCCCGTCGCGTGGCCTCCTCCAGTAAGGGCTATGATGAGGTGGGGGGCGTGTTGAGGAGGAGGAGGAGGAGGAGGAGGAGGAGGAGGAGGAGGGAGGAGGGGACGAGGAGGAGGAGGAGCAGGAGGAGGAAGGAGGGAAGAGGAGGAGGAGGAGGAGGAGGAGGAGGAGGAGGAGGAGGAGGAGGAGGAGGAGCTGGATCGATCGGTGAGGGCCCCGCGGCCCGAATTGCCAGGCGACAGCGAGCGGGGCGTGAACGCCGGGCGGCGGCAAAGACTGTCACGTCCACGCCCCGGGCTCCTGCTCCTGGCGCGCTCCCCGCGCCAGGGAGGCGCAGCGAGAATCCAAGAAATCCGCGCAGACCTCGCAAAACTCGCGGTGGAGCCCAGCCCACGAGAAACCTTCCACGAGAAGCCCAACCCTGAGACCCCAGGACGTCCATTGATTCTTGGTGTGGGCACGTCACGCTCTCTACAGCAAAACAGTCGAAGGCCAGGGAACCCAGGGCACCCTGGAGGCAGGCAGGGCGTTTCTTGGCATAGGCCCGGCCTCTACTGTATGTTGATGCCCTGGCGAAGCCGCCCGCTGCGGGCAAAAAAGCAACGCCCGGATCTCAGGGTCTGCCTTGGCGTCCAGGGCGGCTGCCGAGGCCCAGCGGAGGTTCTCTGGCTTCACGTCCCGGTGGACCAGCGCCGGCGCGTTGCCTCAGGGCCAACGTTGGGGGGGGACCGGCTCGGGGGGGCAGACATCGAGCTTGAATCGGCGATGCATCGCCGATAGATCGGCGACAGGCCCCCGATGCGCACGAGCGTGGCGAGCCATCGAGCCCCTGTCGGCGATCAATGGGCGATCGGGGGTCGATGAGCTCCCCCTGAGCCTGTCCCCCCCGAGCGTTTCCACTTGGCCTGTCGGGCCATCGTTCGGGCCTCCGGTGGGCCGGGACGATCAGAGGATCCAACATTATGCAGTTGTGCGCACCGCGCTGCAGCAGCGCTTTCCGTGGAGCTCCCCATGGGGCTACGAGACGTGTGAGGGGTGTGCCGGAATGGGCGGGGAACCGCATACGGACCCTGCCATTCGGCCCTTCGGTGGAGCTCTCCATGGGGCCACGAGACGTGTGAGGGGTGTGCCGGAATGGGCGGGGAACCGCATGCGAACCCTGCCATTCGGGCCTTCGGTGGAGCGCCCCATGGGGCCACGAGACGTGTAAGGGGTGTGCCGGAATGGACGTGCGGAGGGCAGAGGCAGGGATGTGGGGAGGGAGGATGGGGGAGGAGGGATGTGATGTGAGTGACGCGGAGCGCTGTCTCTCCAAAACGAGGGCCCAACACCGCAGGATGGTTGGAAAGAAATTTAGCATCGCAGAAATCAAGTCTGAAGCCCTGGGCCCCACCTTTCTGCGCCAGCTTGCCAATCGGATCGATCCGTGAGGGCCCCCGACCCCGAAGCCGGGCGAGAACGCCCCTTCGACAAAAAATGCAAAGCCAGGGTCTCAGAGTATCCCGAGCCTATCCTGAGCCTATCCCCCCCTAACCAGAGGCCTCCTTGATGGGATCCGAGCAGATGGGGTCGGAGGATTGCGCTGCATCGGCGATGTACTGGCGGCGTCGGCGTGGAGAAAATCGGGCTCCGCACCGCGCCGCATCGGCGAGGCATCGGCGATGCGGCGCGATCCTCCGACCCCATCTACTCCGACCCCATCTGGGAGGCCTAGACTGACGTTGCCCCTGACGTCCGTGGATGTACGCGAGGGCGCTGGCGACCTGCAGGGCGATGCTCGCCGCCTCCGAGCGGCTGATCCACGGCGCAAGGCCCTGGAGCGCGCGCTGCTGGCGCACCTCCGAGGCTTGGCGGTCGCGCACAAGGGGAAAAGGGGGGAGGGGGGGAAGGCTTCTTAGAAGAAGCACCCGTGTTTTTCGGAAGGCACGGGCCATACATCTACGGACAAGGCCCGCGCCTCCTAAGAAGCAGGGGTGCTTCTAAGAAGCCTTCCTTCCTCCCCCTACCCTCCTCTGCACGTGGCCGAGACTTTGGCCGAATAAAATCACGTTGGGAGATTTTGGGTAATTTCTTTGGCCTCCAGGGGCCCTCGCCAGGCCTCGAACCCGTCAAAAAACGACGCGGGACAAAGAGACGGCCCTCGGGAAGGGGTCGGGATTTCCAGGGACCCCGCATGGGAAAAATCAAGACGTCGCATGTCTGGGCTTGGATTGCGTACATACGCCCCCCCATGGTAGACCCAGCTGGCCTCAACAGGCCCCCCTGCGGTGGTTTCAATTATGTTGCATCGTTGGGGGGCCTCGTCTGTCTCATCGTGCCAAACATCCGTGTCGCATCCATATCAAATCCACACCGAACACGTCGAATCCGTGTCGAATCCGTCACGTCGGATTCGCGTCGGGTTCGCGTCGAACCCACGTCGGAGTACAAGAACAGCCACTTGCAGGACAGGAAAGGCCCCCCGAATATGCAAAGCAATCTCGACACCCCAACCGAAGGTGTTGAGATTGCCTCGGACTGCTCGGGGGGCCTGTTGAGGCCAGCTCAGAACTGCCTGTGCGTAACCCGAAGCCTTAGTTATCAAGATCATTCACCTCGGGCTTCTACTGACCTGGGTCAATACAAACCTGGGTCAGTGGGGCTTTGCAGGATCCTGCAAGATCCTGCAGGATCCTGCACACAAGCCCGGGTCAATGCACCCCTGGCTCTACAGGATCCTGCAAGATCTGGCGCTCTGGCTGACCCCCATATGCATTGACCCCCGTCTCAAGGCTCCCAAGCACCTCCCTCTGGGAGGACACCGGCCCCTGAGATCTGGGCGTCGATTTGTTTTTCACGCTGGGCGGTTTCGCCCCGCTCCGGGCCCCGGGACCATCACAGATCGGTCGGGCTCCACGAGTGCTGTAGTAAAGAGGTGGGGTCTATATGGTTCCGGTCGTCTGGTGGCGATGTTGCCATGTTTTCGCGGCGTCCTATCTCAAGGCCACTCTCCTCCCCCTGTGGGGAAACTGAATGGTCAGACTGGGTCGGTTATGGCAAACACGCCCGCCCTGGAATCTCCAAAAGATCCTCTCGCGAATGCCCGCGACTCCAGTCTCCAAAAATCTCCCCGCGGATCTTACAAAGAACTTCGCGCCTTCAAAATATTCCAGCGAATCTCGAAAATCACTTCGCGCCTGAAATATCTTCCGGCGGATCTCCAAAATCATCGCCTTCAAAAAATCTCCAACGAAATCTTCGCCGAAGATTGTCCGGAATTTCTCTGGAGATTCTCTGGAGATTTCTGTGCGCGGGAGATTTTCTGGAGATTTTCTAGAGATCTCGGCACGCCGCAGATTTGACAGAGAATTTCCCCGGAGAAGCTCAGAGATTGCCCGGAGATTTCCTGGAGATTTGGCCGCCAGGAGATCTTGGGAAGCCCGAATACAATGGAGATTTCCCCAGTGAGTTTCCCGATATGTTTCGTCCACAGGGCCCCGGTCGTATTTGCCAGATGGGCCCGATCTAACCCAATGGTGCCGATGCTGCCACTCCACGGCCGTCTCCTGGGGCGCGTTATGACCAGAATTGGGGTAGTGGGGAAGGCTTCTTGGAGGCTGCTTCTTTAGAGGAAAAAGCTGCATAAACATACACTGTTGGTGCTGCGCCCAAAGTGTATGTTTATGCCATGTTTTCTCCCTGGATTCGTAGGCGGCTGCTGGTTGGAGGGCCCAAAGAGGCCCAAGGAGGGAGAGGACGGCAGCCGGCACCTCGTCCACAGAGTGCGCAGCTGGTGTTCGATGTAGGTAGGCAGGTTCTTTCTATTTTTCTGGCTGCCATGAGACTGCAGCGCTGCAGTGCGTGTGTAATGTGAGCAGAGCGAGTTGTCTCCGTCCGTATGCGTCCTTGGCGCAGGGTGTCGAGAGTTAGGTCGGGCATGTCCTCCTACAGGCGGATTTTGGACCAACAATGAGACACAGTCAAACCAGATTCAAAGATAGTGAAGAATAGTCGACAAATCGTCCCCAGACTATTTTCTGTCCATTTTTGAACAGTCCTCCTGTAGAGGGACATGCCCGACTTAACTAAGTCGACAGAAAAATCCCTCGACCGAAGCAAGCTCCACTGGGCGAGGCACACCCCAAACACACATCGAAAGAGTCTGATACCGTACATAGAGGCCTCCTAGATGGGGTTGGAATATATGGGGTCGGGAGATCTCGCCGCATCGCCGATACATCGGCGATGTATCGGCGACGCATCGGTGATGCGCCAGCGATTCTCCGACCCCATCTACTCTAGAAGAACAACAACCATAAACGTATTTGTTTGGCGCTCCGCGCGGATTTCTTGGATCCGCGCCGCGCGCCAGGGGCCCAAAGTGTATGTTTATGGCGTATGTTCTTCTTTGGTACTCCGACCCCATCTGGGAGGCGTAAGAGTACAGCTCTGAATCTCTGGTTGGGCGAACGGTGGCGACCTGTGTCGGGCCGGGCGAAAGGGGGGGATAGCAAAGGGGAAGTTTGAGAATCAGATCACGTTGCTGATTTTCCCGGCGCTTCCCGGCGCCGGAGACGGCGATGCATCGAGGAATGGGCCCCTCGGTTAGGCCGCAACCGGCTGCACGCAGCAGATTTCGTAACCCCCCCTTTCCCAATCCCCCGGGGCCTCCACCTTCCTCCTCCTCCTCCTCCTCCCTCTCCTCCTCGCCCTCGCTCCTCGCTCCTCGCTCCTCGCTCCTCGCTCCTCGCTCCTCGCTCCTCGCTCCTCGCTCCTCCTCCTCCTCCTCCTCCTCCTCCTCCTCCTCCTCATTACTCATCCTCCTCACCTCCTCCTCCTCTCCTCCTCCTCCCCTTTCGGTCCGGCCCGACGTGGGTGGCTCGCCATCCTTGCCCGGGGTGGATATGCGCCTCCAGCTGTTATGTTAGCCCGCGCCTCTAGCCCCTCGCGGGAGGAGCGGCCGGGCCCCGGCTCTGGGGCGTGAGCGGGGTTCGCAGACGGGGAGGAGGATTCTTGAGGAGGAGGAGGAGGAGGAGGGAGGAAGGAGGAGGAGAGAGGAGGAGGAGTCGAGGAGACGGAGGATGGAGGAGGAGGAGGAGGAGGGGGTAGAGGAGGAGGAGGAGGAGGAGGAGGAGGAGAAGGAGGAGGAGTAGGAGTAGGAGTACGAGTAGGAGTAGAAGGATGAGGAGGAGGAGGAGGAGGAGGAGGAGGAGGAGCAGGGGGAGAAAGGAAGGCTTCTTTTCCAGGACCCCCTTCGCTGTGACAAAAATCACGACGGGAGGTTCTTCCCTTTGTCGGTCGGAGATCTGTTGACCCGGGTCAATCCAGACCCAGGTCTGTCGGGCCTTGCAGGATCCTGCAGGATCCTGCACCCAGACCCGGGTCAATGCGAAGGATCCTGCAACATCCTGCAGGATCCTGCGCCCAGACCCGGGTCAGTGCGACACTGGCCTCTGCAGGATCCTGCAAGATCGGGCGCTCTGGCTGACCCCCCTTTGCATTGACCCCCGTTTTTTTGGGGGGACGCCCGAAATGGGTACGGGAAAAATGAGCACAATGCCCAACAACAAATGTTGTCCCAAACCATCAGCGGCCGCTGTTGGGTAGGCGGCCTTCTGTCTCGGATGGACACAGGACGCGGCGGCGTGGACAGCGAGTCCTGTTCAAAATGAACAGGAACTGCTGTTGGGCATGGTACCCATGCTTTCCGTACCCATTTCGGGCGTCCTGATCTCAAGGCTCCCCCAGTCGGCCTCGGGGGGCCCTCGCCGGCCCTCGCGTCGTGACAGAATCAAGACGGGAGGTATCTTCCCTATATTCTCGGCCTCCCCGGGCCCTCGCCGGGCCGTGGGACCGTCAAAGGATTCGGGAGGGATGGCCGGTCCCCGGGAAGGGGTCCACACCTCTGGGGG